ACTGCGCATATTGTCGTTAATCAGTATATATGTCGCATTGCAATGGATGAAAATGCGTCCATTTAAGAAATGAGATATAATTTTTAGAATTTCATTGGGATATGGCATGAAGTCGGTCACGTGATCAAATCCTATAACGCCCGATCGAAGGGCGTTATAATAGATTTGATCACGTACCGACTTCATGTTATCCCAATGAAACTCTAAAAAATATTTTATTTCTGATATTTATATTTACTTTTATTTGTGTTACAAGGAAAAATAGGCACTATCTAGACTTTGGTATGGAAATGCAACATAACGTACCTACGACGTCATGTGACGTCATAATCGGAACTTTCCAAATGGCTCGTACACATTCGGCAAACCTCGACTGATTCCGTCACCTTCATCAAACCTCGGCTGTATGAGGAAGCTTGATATGCGTCTCCGCTTAACATTTGTGATAAGGCTGCCTGTTTACCGCTTAGGGAAAACGTAACGCTTTGAAAACGATAATAAACATGCATCTGATATACGTTGAAATTTTTCAAAAGCATTTAGGTAACACTAAGAATAACACTTACCAAGAAACAAGGACTTAGTATCTTTACATAATCACATGTTTGTTAAAGAATCGAATTCAGCACACTGTGCACGTGTAAATGTAGGGCGCAGCCATATTGCTTATAAAGTAGCTCCGGTTCAATGGAGGTTTACATGATACAGCCGAGGTTTGATGAGGTACGAATCGGCCGAGGTGTGCCGAGTGGGCTCGTACAGTTTGCTTTCCATACACAAGAAAGTTTGATCATATGACCAACTGCATGTCATTGAAAATTGAATGTCAATTTAATAAGTATTGTCATATAAGGAAAGACATCGGCAAATGTAAATATATAAATATGACTAATCATTGCTTCAATTGCTGTTTTTGAGAAGAAATTTTTTAAAAAGAATTTTCCTATATATTCCTATGTAAAACTTTGGCCCCACCCAACTCCTCAGTGCATGGGGATCATGATTTGAACAAAATTGATTTTTTGTTTGTTTGTTGTTTTAAAGTTACATGTATTCTGGAGAATTTTTCACTCATGTGGAGACGCCAACACTTGCCAGTGGAGGGCTGCACTCGACACTCATGATCAGCATTGAGAAGTAGGGGATCTTTTTCGTGCCAGCACATACAAAATTGAACGTAAAATATGTAATGAAGCTTTCACATTAGTATCATTTCCCCTAACCAAGTATATCTTAAGAAAAAGATTTTGAAAGATTTTTCCTATATAATCAATGAAAAACTTTGATCACCTATTTGTAGTCGTTGATCCTTCCCCCGAAGGACATGATCTGAATAAAACTGAATCTACACTTTATAATGAAGCTTTCATATTAGATTTTTAAAACTTTTCCGACACAATGATTCTTGAGACAATTTTTAAAAGATGTTACTCAGTCATTCTACAAACACATGACCAATTAAGAATTTTTTATGTCGCTTACAAATTTTCCGTTGTAATATAACTATAAATTCAAAGGTCGATTTCAACTCTAAGACTTAACATACACCTATGGTTTTGTAAATACTCATCGATATATATACAGTTAATGTTTTGATATGAACATAATGTAATGTTGAAAAACGTATTCCACTGCAAATCCTAATGTCGCTTCATTTATTTACAAATTTCAAGATGAAATTTTCAGCCGTTTGTTTGTTTGTATGTTGTTTAACGTCCCTCTCGAGGATTTTTCACTCATATGGAGACGCCACCACTTGCCGGTGGAGAGCTGCATGCAAATGTTGTCCTATGCTCGGCACTTAGGGCCATTGAACAGTGAGGGATCTTTATCGTGCCAGCACCTACTGCGACACGGAACCTCGGTTTATACGGTCTCATCTGAAGGACCGGTCTCCACGTCCCAAAGTGGGATTCGAAGCCGCCACGTAAGGATCAACTCCTTAGTTCGCGACTCTAGAGCAGACGCTCTAACCATTGCGCCACGCGGGCGACTGATTTTCAGACGTAAAATCGTCCCGAATAGATTACAATGAATATTAAAAAAAAAATTTTATCCTATATAAAAAGAAATAAACCAATTCTCGCAAAGAAATGTATGGATCTCCTTTCATGCAAAATCATTGCATGTCGCTTAAAATTAATTAACTTCCGTAACGATATTGTTTTAAATTTCACACACATAATGCAGATTTCAAAAAGAACTGAAACTTATCTGAAAGTGACTACGGAACCTTATATCATCGATTCTAGTTGCGAGTCAGCTATTTTTCGACATAACAAAATGAGACAACTTCCATAACGGTAATCCAGGAAAGTTTTTGCATTAAAGGTATAAAAAAAATATTATTTTGGGAGCGAAATGATTCTTACTTTTGTTTAATATTCTAAAACAAACTTTGATTTTAACTATTGAAGAGAATTTTAACTTTTATTGCTGGGAATTAACTTCCGTAACGATATTTTCCCCGAAAAATTAATTTTATTTCGAATTCATGAGGGACTTCATGAATCACACTTTAATTAGCGTTCTTTACTGAACATAAGAAACGAAAAAAAAAAATGGTCAAATTCAGCTTTATTAAAAAATAATAAGGCTTAATCTGTTATTCAACCATTAACTTCCGTAACATTACCTTAAAATCAATCATTATGGTATATTGAAATTGTTGTAAAAAGTTGACGATACCAGATTTGTGGACAATTCTTTGTTTTCAAGTTCACTGATATGTCCTTTAGCATGTTTAGAGAAATATGATGTTCATTTTGCTTTTTGAAACAATTATTTTTTTTCTTCATTATTTATACTCTGAATAGGTCCATTTATCGTAGAATGACTTCTCTAAATTCTTATCTATACTTCCCTTGAAAGAGGACATGACCCTTCATTTGAACAAACTTAAATCCCCTTTATCGGCGGATTCTTAATTTGTGGCAAGTTTAAAATGTTTGATTGAAATTTATCGAAGACAATTTTATGTGTACCGTCACTTATGATCATTCTCCAGTAACAACTTGTGCAAAACCCTTTTTATCAATAGTTTTAAACATTTAAACAATACGATTTGCAGTGGCGGATTTAAGGAGCGCGCATCCAGCGCCCCCCCCCCCCCCCCCAAATTGTCAAAGTTAGCGTAAATCATAGTCTTCGTCGGGAAAATGTAAAAATGTCTACTCGGTAGATCTTATTTTTACCCTACAAAATCTCTAGAATCCAGAAGCATCCGGGGGGCTTCAAGGCGGCCCCCAGACCCCCTGCCTACTTTCGACGCCCCCTCTAACTTCACAAATCAGGCGCGGATCCAGGAATTGATCATATACATTGTGTAGGGAAACTCTACTGTTTTAATTTGACCTGTTGATGAGTCAATGCATCACTTTATTGTATGTATGACCTTGATTATGATTTATTCAGGCTGAGCTAAGAAATCTTTTTAAAAAGCATTAAACTAAACTAATAAAAACATGTAAAACAAAGCGAAAAAATGTCAGTAATATTGCTTTAAAAGTGTATAATAATCTGTACCTGTTCCTATACTCAATGTACATAAAATTAAATTGAGATGTGTTTAACCTGAGCCGACAAAAGATTGTGCATATTTAGAACTTTAGAAATAAAACATGTGCATATCCATCCATTCATAGCAGAAAGCGATCCTCCTGAGAAATGCTATGATATTGCAAGTTTAATGCAATTGGGTCCGCTTCACTTTTTTAAAGTTACAACCTGTCAAATGTGACTTAATTCACGCAATAATAAGGTCTTAATGGTATTATATAAGTAGATCTATATTAACTTTGTGTAGATTACACCAAATTACCAACTTATATCTTAATCTGACAAAATTAACCTCAACAATATTATGAACTCAGATGGTAAGGAGCTAGATTAACAGGAAGCCGTATTGCAGAGCGGTTACCGTTTGGCTCGTCTCTCAAGTAATCAAAACTGCAGGTCATTCATATCCAAATGCAGATTTTATGGGTAAATGCATGCTTCAACCTTCCTATTGTGCATGAATATATATATATATATATATATATATATATATATATATATATATATATATATATATATATATATATATATATATATATATATATATATATATATATATATAATAATAATAATATAGATACATGTTTAAAACTCTACTGACTCTAATAAAATATATCATGTGTGGTATTAATTGTCTTTGTACATAATTAATTTGAATGAACAGCAATTTACATTTTAATGCTGTCCACCCAAATTTACCTCTTCTTTGTGCGTAGACTAGTTTTTACTAGAAAAAAAAACAACTTTTACTTGTTCATTATTTATTGTAAAACATTGATTTGTGTCTGATGTTTTTGGGTTTTTTTTAATACTTTTTAAATAAATTTCTTCATGTTCTAAATTTGATTCCACAGAAGAAATAAAAATGCTCCTAACATTTAGTAATAATACATGGACAATAGTAAAGCAACGGAGAGAAAAGAAAAAGAAAATCCTGTCCACTAAATCAAAGAGATAAAAAGATCAGCTTCATGCAGAATATCAGGCTATAGATAAAAAAAACAATGAAGAATGCAAGAGTCGACCGGAAGGCATACAATGAAAAACTAGCTAACGAAGGAGAACAAGCAGCCTCTAAACAAGATCGGCAGACCCTCTATCGAATAACAAAAACACTAGCAGGTAAATGTCAGTCACCAGATTTACCAGTTAGAGATAAAAAAGGAAATGTATTATCAAAAGAAGAAGACATGCAGAAACGCTGAAAAGAACATTTCGAGGAAGTGTTCAATATCAATGATACAGAAAATGAGGTCCTGATAACACCAGCCATAGACGCATTGGACATTAATACAGATCCACCTAGTGTAGAAGAGGTGAAAAAGACAATAGTGAAACTAAAAAAATGGAAAGGCTGCAGGCATTGACCAAATAAATGCAGAGCTTCTCAAGGCCGAAGAATACTGGACACCTACCATCTAGACAAATATTCTACAGAAGATATGGGAATCAGAAGAGACACCAACTCTCTAGAAAACAGGCCTTATAGTCAAATTACCAAAAAAGGAGACCTCTCAAACTGTAACAACTATAAAGGGATAATGTTGCTCTTGGTAACCATGACAGTACTAAGCAGAGTGATACTTAACAGAATCACAGACATGGCAGATTCCCTATTGCGGAAAGAACAAGCAGGTTTTAGAAAGGGAAGGTCATGTGCCGACCAGATATTCACTCTCAGACAAATATTGGAGCAGAGCAATGAATGGAACTCTCCACTTTACATCAACTTCATTGACTTTACAAAAGCTTTTGACAGTGTTAATCGCCTTGCCTTAGAAAAAATTCTCAGCCATTGTGGGATCCCAGATAAAAACATCTCCATCATTAAGATGCTGAATACAGACATAAATGCCAGAGTTATCTGTGGATCAAACCTATCAGAGGAGTTTAAATTGAAAACTGAAGTATAAAACATGGATGTCTGCTCTCCCCTCTTCTCTTCACATTCTGCATTGACTGGATCATGCGAGAAACCACCCAGAACAAGCGGACGGGAATCAGTTGGGCTATGTCAGAAATGCTTGGAAACCTAGATTTTGCAGATGATATAGCATTGCTAGCTCACAGACATCGTGACATGCAAGAAAAAACCAACCAGCTAGCAAAAACAGCAGAAAGGATTGGGTTTAAAATTAACAACACCAAGACTAAGATCATGAAGGTCAACACTAAATTAGATGAACCCATCACCTTAAATAATATAGAAATAGAAGAGGTCACAGACTTTGTCTATCTAGGAAGCAAGATCACCACAGATGGGAACTCAGAAGTAGATGTACAAGCTCGGATTTCAAAAGCCACAGGAGCGTATGTTGCACTGCAAAACACCTGGAGGTCAGCAAAGATCAGCATTAATACCAAAATTAGGATTTTCAAGAGTAATGTGCTTGGGGTCCTCCTGTATGGTGCTGAATCACTGAAAGTTAAGAAACTCATTTCAAACAAGCTAGATGCCTTTCAGACCCGTTGCCTTCGCAGAATATTACGCATTTTCTGGCCAAAAACGATCTCAAATGAAGAGTATATAAAAGGACTAACACCACTCCTCTATTCCAAGCTATAAAGAAAAGAAAATGGCTGTGGATAGGACACATATGTCGAATGCACCCAACGTCCATCCTAAGGGTTGCATTGAGATGGACACCAACCGGTAAGAGAAAGAGAGGAAGACCAAAAGAGACTTGGAGAAGATCAGTGGAGAAAGGAATAAATGAAAACAACTGGACATGGGGACAGGTCCAGAGATGGACACAAGATAGATCAACATGGAAGTCTCTGGTGACGGCCTTATGTGCTGACCAGCACGAAGAGAACTAAGTAAATAAGTAACTTTTAGTTTACTACAGACCTCTGGTAAAAAAGTTGAAATGCACTTTTTTTTTTTTTAGATTTTCTACTTATTATGAAATTTCATTTTAAAGAGAGCCAGAATTTTGTATCTTAAACGCCCAAAATTTGTCACGCAGGGGGCTCAAGATCGTGAAATCAATGCCCTGAACCCCCTACCAGGGCGCTGCCGTGGACCCGCTAGGGGCCTTGGGCGGCCCCCAGACCATTTATTGCCATTTATAGGGTAATCAGTGCCTATACTTCATCAATGTCCTAGCTACGCCCCTGCAAATAATGCAGTTTAATTGCTACATCTTGAATAGAGTTTTAAGCAATTCATGATTGAATTACAATTTTGCAATCTTGAGACGGAATTAAATATTTATTATAAGTTGTGTAACACTGTATTACATGTAACAATATATCTGAGTTCATTTATAAAGTTTCAAATATATTTAACTGACATTATTGTCCCCCGCTTTCGCGAAAGCGAAGGTACTGTAATGGTGGATGATTTATAGTGTCTATATGTGTTATTAAATCTTTGTTATTTATTACAATGTATCTAGTCACGTATTAATATGAATAATTATTGTAATATTGTGTTGTGTAACATTATGCTATTATTATATTATTATTATATTACACTTAATGTCGGGTTCGTCGCCGACTTTGCGCGTGTCAGGCCGTTCGAGACAACGTCTGGACGTCTGTCAACGGCCTGCCCACCGTGACGTTCGCAACAGCCAGATTAGATCAGTGCTAGCCTGAGACAAGTTGCGAGTAGGTATCCACCATCCCCTAGACTTTTAATATTGTTAATTGTAACTTATTTATTCCAATTAATAAACCTTTGTTAACCTTTATAAATGTGTTTCTCTCTGTAAATCACTGAATCTGGATTTATACATGGAAACGTACAGGTTTCCCGTTACAGTACAATAAATCTCATTCGTCTGTCTGTCTATCTGTCTTGCTGTCTGTCCGTCTGTCACAAAAACTTTAACCTTGGTCATACATGTAACTTTCAAATGAGAAGAGATAGGGTTTTCATATTTCACGTGTATATTACCTGTGACAAGACCTTTCCAAATATACTACAATTTTGAAAGAGTGACCGTGACCTTTAAGTTTGACTTACTTTCAAAATAATTATCTTTGCTTAAAACTTTTGATTGAGAGGAGGTAGGGCTTTCACATTTTACATATGTATTACCTGTAACAGGACCTTTTCAAATATACTACGAATTTTGACCTTGAAGTTCCACCTACATTTCAAATATTTTAACATTACTTTGTTTAAAGTGATCATAAGATTAAATGAGAAAAGACAGGGCTTTCATATTACATAGGTACATCACCTGTGACAAGACCTTTCAAAATATACTATGGTTTTTGACCCTGTGACCTTGACCTTGAAGTTTAACCTTCTTTTCAAACATTTTATCTTTCCTTTTAACTTCTGATTTAGAAAAGATAGGACTTTGATATTTGACATGTGCATTACCTGCGACAAGATGTTTCCGAGCATGCTTTGATTTTTGACCCCTTATCCTCGACCTTCATGTTTGATCTTATTTTCAAAACAAAAAAACAAAAACAAAACAAACTTTGGTGATTACTTTTGAATGATATATTATAGAGTGTTCATATTTGACAAGTGCATTAGCTGTGTCAAAATGCTTTTGAATGTGCTATGATATTTGACCTCGTGACCTTGATCTTCAAGATTGACCTATTTTTCAAATATTTTATCAGTTTGCGAGGTTTTGAAGGAGCGAAAATAGGGCATTCATATTTAATACGTGTATTACCTGTGACAAGCATTTCTAAATGAACTATGATTTATAACCCATGACTTTGACATTCATGTTTGATCTAATCTCCCCCCCCCCCCAAAAAAAAAAATAACATTGCTGATAACTTTTGATTGAGAGAAGATACGACATTTACATTTGACATGTGCATTACCTGTTTCAGGACCTTTTCAATGGTATAATCTGGTTTTTGATATATATTTTTTCACATGTGCATTAATTATGAGAAAACCTTTTGGACCGCATAATTATATTTGAATATATGACCTAGATGTTGAAGCTTGATGTATGTTTGAGAAGATATAATCTTTGCCATAACTGTAATTTATTCAATAATTTATGTCATTTTTATATGATGCACAGACAAGACAGGATACACAAACAAGACAGTTACAATATGCCAAAAATAATGGCATCCCGTCCACTAAGACACCGAAAGCGGGGGATCACAATTCTTTGAATTTGCTTGTTTTTAATAAGTATAAGTATTTATACTGAATCTCATCAGAAAAGTTCAGTTATTAAAGGTAAGTTATTTATTAATTCATTGAATGAAATAGACGAAGATGAACAGTGATCGATATTTAAAAAAAAACCTACAAACAATAGAAATCTGCTATTAATCTTTCTTTGTGGTTATCTTTTTTAAGTAAGTATTCATTATTCGATGACAGTTGAACTTTAACGAGTTTGTGACCATAAGTGTAATGCAATGGAATGTAGGACGCCTCAAAGATGGACCATCAGTGTAATGCAATGGAATATAGGAGGCCTCAAAGATGGACTACATTTCCTCAGCATACATAACATAGGAATTTTTTTTTTAAAGCAGACACTGAAATATCCACATGAAGGAGTAATTTATCGTTGTGCATTTTCCTTTCAATTTTTTACATTAAATCAAACGTCTTACAAAAGCATATGATTTGAATACTGACATTGTTTGATGTGATCACTCGAATGCCGATAGTAGTATAAGGGGTCTAGATAGGGGGGTCAACTGAGTGCACTTTTGGGCCCTGGGGGGATGGGGGGGTCAACTGAGTGCACTTTTGGGCCTCTGGGGGGATGGGGGTCAACTCAGTGCACCCCCGAGGTCAAGGTCAGAGATCTGGAAAAACCCGCACGCGCTCAGCACGTTCTGAGATCTGGAAATTCCTGAGATATGAGATGTGAGATCTGGAAAAACCTGCACGTTCTCAGCACTCACCTGGAAAAACCTAGCCATTATGACGTCATACACTGTATAAGTATTGCATGTGTCTGACTTCAAGCTCATTCTGTTGTCAGTTCCATCAGCTGTCGACATGGATTCTGCTATGAAAAAACTGTTACATGCCCAGCAACTGATGAGATGGAGAAGACGGGCGAAAGAGTTAGAAAGAATTATTTCCAACAATAAACACAGAGAATTAGCGCTCAGAAAAAGAAATGCGAGAATATTACAGAGAACGCAGAGAGCCCAAGTCCAACAAGAACAACAAAGGACTGTGTCGGATGAAGAACCACACTCATCAGCCCATTCACCACCCCAGAAGCCAAAGGCCATTTCCCAATATTATCAAGTGAGACTGAATCAAGCCAAACATTCCAGAAAATTTAAAGCTAAAGAAGATGTCTACAGTGTGAATTTTAAGGAATTTCCAGAGGAGGAAAACAGAGGCTTTGTTCGGCGATTATTTAGAGACATGCTGCAAAATGTCAAATATCAAATGCAGTGTAATCCTAACGATTACGTACGCCTGAACATACGCCATCCATCTCTGGATTCCGACATTTGGTACGAGTTTACTCAATGTAAACATTTAAACAAGGACGTCATTTTAGACAAAATAGAAGCCGTGCAACAATCCAAGAAGGATTTTAAACTGGGAGACGGGGCCATGGAATTCGACATGTTTCGGGTCAAGTATCCGGAAGGGAGTGGTGGAGACAAAACCAAACATCTGATGGTCAACAAGGAGAGTTTTAAGAAGGGAAAAAGAAGTATCGTTCAGATCGACAATCCCTGGGATAAGTTTTGTTTAGCTCGAGCCATCGTAGTCACCCGGTTATACAGTCAAAAACCTGAACATGCAGACCCCGAATGGGAAAAGCAATGGATACGTATGCGGAAGGGTGATTACAAATATTTAGACCAGAAAAACGAAGCCCTAGCTCTCATGGAACAAGCCGGGTATGATATCCATCGGCCTTGTGGACCCGAAGAATGGGGGAAATTACAACAGGTGTTAGTCCCTCGCTATCGACTGAAAATACTCCAG